CAGAGTTGGTAACACGACTATAAATGTGTTGGAAGACCCTGCGTGAGCTCGCCCGTTTGCAGCGACAATGATTAGAATTAGGAACTAATTCTAATTATTGTATGATAAAGACAGGCATTTTTCAAATAGGACACGTTTGAAATATTGATTATAAATAGAAATACTAAATATGAGGATGCGTAACTTGCACTTACTTTGAGGTCCTTCGTTAGATCAACTTATGAGGAAAACTTCATGGATTTTAGATGTGTAGAAAATATAATTCAACGGGTTCGAGATCTTCTATGTCTATTGATTATTCACAGTTCGACCAGTCGTTAACGTTGGCAATATTGATTGAGGAGTAATAAGATGAGCTCAGCGAAATCACATACGAAGAGTTTATTTGAAAACAATGGCGCCTTAATGAACATGTCAACAAACAAGTCGCATGAGAGGAGTACAAGGCCAAACAGGGACCCTGCTTGTCCTACATTACAGTCTCGTTCTTCTCTTTGCATTTGCATTTATACCTAAACCAACATAGGTCGCTCACGATGTCCTTAAACGCCAAACAAACCGAAATAAACAACATTGGATTGACTGATCTTAGAAGGACTCAGACTCAGACTGTATGTAGCGTCGGACTCGTTATATTCACAAGGGTTTTTAGAGATAGTAAGCAACATTGAGGTTTAGATTTATCGATGAAGATCAATGAGGCTTATACGAAAACGCTGCTTGATGCTGGATTATATTAAGGCCTTTTTCCTGCAAAATGAGTTCGAAATTGGCGAAAAATATAGCCGCTTCATCGAGCTTTTATTATAGCTAAGTCACTGCTTAAAGTCATGTAGAATTTGCGCTGCTGGTGAAGCTCACCGATCGCGTTGACCATCTTTTGCATGTATGATGTTTAGGTTCGATTCGATGTTGTCTCGAACACTGGGTAGGAGCTACAAATGCAATACGGGCTGTTACAAGTACGGAAGGGAACATGCCGGCCCATTGTTATTACTATTCTTATCATATAGATTGTACTGCGGTTGTATATGATAGCCGTCTGTGTTTGGGTACAAAACGCCGCGGCAGAAATGAACTGCGAACTTATGACCGGCAGAACGAAGCCATTGAATGCATCCTACCTGTGAATAGCACGCTTTAGTACAATATGCGTTTGATGTCTCAAGTTATGGCTTAACAAAGTGACGCCTGATCTAAGACGGAGTGCAAAGGAGCGCCAAGTATCACAGCTGGTATGTTTGGCCTTATATCAGTTGTCCACTACCGCGAACAGGTTGTCTGCCCGTATTCAAATAACAGTTGTTTGAGAACGATATGGCTACAGTCGGAAAATTTACTTCCGTACATTGATTTTGAGAGGTCACTATTTAAGAATAGGATTCATGCTTATATAATCGAAATAGTAGGCCAACGTTGCGGAACGGAGCTATGTATCTTTGGTTTAGATTTGCTGATGGCTTACATGGGCACTCTTGTAACACTATTCGAGAGGGGTTTATCGAAAGGAAACTTGAACTAAACATGATAAAGGTGCATACGTGTGTTAGAGAGAGAAGTAAATCTTGAGAGGACGCGACAAATAGAGCAACTGCAGACGTGGATGCCGCTGATTTTTCAACGCCTGAGCTGTTCTTATTACGTAAATAGATCTTCGAAGTAATTTACTCAAGCAACCAAAAGGCCTATCCGAAGTAGGCGCTACTGAATTTGTCCAAGGTTTTTCTAGGAATTTCATTAAACGGCATAGTTACCATATGCTATGGTAGCCATTTACCAATGCTAAAATGTGAACCAGCGATGGCCGCACGCTCGTGGTATCCCACGGAAAGCGGTACGCATCCACGCGAAACTTTCTAGCAAGACATAATGCTGGTTAGGTTCAACCGATGACCATTGTTGAGTGTACATTGTGTTAAGCCATAAACACGTTGGAGTATTTGTCAAGACAAACTGTTGAATCGCCATTAACAGACATAAAATACAATAATACTTGTATACTCTCTCCGATTAAGTATAGAAAAGAAAAGGGGCCAATTTGTTACAAATCGGTATGTGCATTTACGATCAGAGTTCACTCTGTAAAATAATATTTCTGACAGTATGTCGCATGGTTATGATCCTGACAATCAACATATGCGTTCTACTGGACAAACAGCACCAGCAGTCGAAATTTGGTCGAAAACCGATCAAAAATGTGAGATTAATTACGGTACATTTGTCCCGTTCGTGAAGTGAGCGGTCAACGTTTGAGTCAAGATAACTATAGAGATTGATTTAGCACGAGATTGGCAAACAGAAACATCGTGTCCTTTCTGTCTTCGGTTAAACTTAGGCGCAGGCAGACTCTAGCACACTGCTGAAACGATCAGCTAAGTAATCTTCTACCTTGAAGATTACTTTAAGGTACTCCATTGAACTTGTTATGGGTCGACAATGGCCATATATGTTCAACATACGCCTAACATAGATACGCATTTTCACTCTGAGGACACGTTTCGAGCACTGTTGTATTTTTAGCTTTCGACGACGCAAATATGTGTCCCGTATCTATTATACACTAAAACAACCTGCTGTTTGTTTCAAGTATCTATTCTTCCGCTCAATTCAGCATCGAGCGCTAGCCTTCGCTCGTCTCAACGAAGAAGACTTCGCGAATTTCCCAAGCAGAGTTATAGGCGCGGTCCGTCCAAGCCATCGCGCTTTCCTGCCTTACTCCGACCCCCAGACGAATTCTCATTCGCACATGTGTTCCCGCATAGAGACATATCCCATTTGTCTCCGTCATGGACTTTTATACGGCGGCAATCTTGACTCTGTTGACGCGCCCTTGTTGTGTCTACTCCACGGTAAAAAAACGCGAAGTTATGGCCTAAATCCATACGTAACAACTACATCTAGCACAGAACGAGCAGAGCCGCTCATGGCTAATTATTGCCCTGTATGGCATAACTATTCCATACGAATAGGTACATTTAGAAACAACGATGACTTCTTTGCTGGTGTCGATTGTCGATGCCAATTTGTTTGATAGTCAAGGCAGTGACCGTGATGTGTGCATGGATGCTACTACGCATCTATAAGGCCGCCACGGAGCCCTTAGCTAGCTCGAGTTCGATATAGGTGTAGTTGTAGCTCTATGCATCTGCCTGCACACGTCATACCCAGCCAAGTGGTCGCCCACTCGCGCACGGTTCAATCGCTTCATTTGCTATGAAAGCAATAGCCGAGTGGCTCATACAGCAAGTGCCTCACCCTCGATTCTGTACACCCCAGTGCCTTGCCGTTTCTCACATTTATTCCCAATTCGCCAGAATATAGTTCTATAGGATAGGCGAACCGGAAAGACCAAGTACCCCTGTGGTAGGCCGCATACTTACGAATTTAATATGTGGCTTCAAATACTGGGAAAACTCTGTCTCGCTCCTCGCGAAGAACGTCGGAACGCGTTCCTTCTACTTTACCAAGTGGTCGATGGCCTGCCGACGAATCTCCAATTCGCCGGCTGTTTGTTGGCCATACTCAGCCTTACTTGCTCATAGATGGTGGTCTACTTCACGTAACGTGTGGGCCATCACTCGGTAACGTAGGTTTCATCATTACCGTTGGGTAGTTAAAGTAAGCCAATATTCCCTCCTTAGCTACTGACACAGGCGGCCCATTGCTTGTGTGCAAGCATGGATAAATGAAGAAACTGTACATGCGAATTCACCTTGAGCCTCTAGAGGGAAGCACGGATATAGAGCTATTATTCTTTCTTTGACCAAAGGAGACTCGTCGGTAGAAGCCTCTACGAATAGTAATTGGACGAACACAGGATACGTTGTTGACTCCGTTGCGGGCTATGCGCTATACGGAAAAGCAGCCAAACTGGTTCAACACAACGGTGTAGTTCTGCGTCACTGTTGTGTATTCGTCCTATGAAAGAGAAAGTAGATCTGTGTTCTTCTGGTAGCGCTTCGTGTTCTATTTCTTGCGTGATTATTCCCCTTTTATGTATGCATATGTCCGACTGGTTTACTGGATGTTTGTTTTCGACGGAAGTTACATGGGGCGCTAGGACAGTTGCAGCAGGACAAACAGTAGTACGATACAGTGGAGGCTAATCGATGTCTCGAGTGTTGAGTAATTGGAAATTAAGCCAGGGTAGGCCAAAGTCCTCCTACAAAACAAAGATGGCAGCCGATAGACGACCTTTTGCGTTACTGAAGGTACTGCTGGTTTGTGTGAGGGGGTTGAATAAGGGATCAGTAGAGGAGACTAATGCTGGTTCCATCGTAAGCAAATACGTTACGTACTCGATTACATAGAGGGCACACGTGTGCGACTCACGGTCTATGTTGGTGGCTTACTTTATCGATAATATTTCATATAAGGCAGCGCGTGTTTCAAAAGAGTTACGTCGTAGCATACCTTTTAATATTGTTAGCCAACAGAATCATTGTCATCATTGGCAGAATCATTACCATCATCAATAGCGTTATCGACACTAATTGCTACGAATGACCGACTGCTGGTATGGCGTAGCAGGCTAAACTAGATCAGGGTTGACGATATCATCAGGAATAAATCCATGGCGCAATGATTATAGACAGCGGATATTGATGGAGATATGGACTATGACGCTACTGCCTAGTCGAACGTTACATTGACAAGTAGACAGCAAATGCTATTCTTCAGACGCATGTACATGGCCACATATATTAGCATTTTTGTCTTGTGACAATGATGCGAGACTAGGCGTGAGTTCGTATCCCAACAGAACAATATAATTATAGGCGTTTATTTATGTAGAATTTAAATCCTAACGTGGCCTAGAAGCATCACATTTTAATTTTTATAGTTCGCATTATACTGCCACCTTGGCGGTAGAAGTCATTCACTTACGCTTATACTCCTAGCGTAATTGGCGGCATCAGACAGCAGTTTACGGTAACAGCGTAATAAAGGGAGAGAGAGAGAGAGAGAGAGAGAGAGAGAGAGAGAGAGATCTCACTCACCTGAGACACTCCTTTTTTGCGGATACCCTTACCAGTTCGCTTCATTCCGGCAAAAATAAAGTGTGACGGCGTTCCTAGTTCTTCTCTTTGCTTGCACAATACCGTCCCTCCCGAAAGATGTCTACAAAGCAAAATTATTTACGAACTTTTTCTATGAACAGTTTTACGAAGAGCAAAAGTTCGCAGCACGTGGATTTCGCTACTGCTTTTGGTGCCTCTTATTTTTGCCCCTCGTTTCTGAAGTGGTAACAGGGCGACGCCGCCGTTGACCGCTTCAGTTAGCGTAATAATCTTTGTAACAGACGTATGGCTCGGTCGCGATCATTTCCCTCAGGACTAAGAAGTACTCACTAAATTTACAAAGTTGCACATAAGATAAGATTAAATAAGGAAACAATTGCACAGAACACGAGGTAAATGTGGACAAAGAAAGCTGGAGCGGTAAAAGAGATTCAATAAGTAAGAGCGAATGCTGTCCAGCAATTTAAATAACAACTGGGAAACTTAATATTAAGTGTCCCAGTTGTCATTTGTTATAACTAGTTTGGGAATTTCCACATCGCAGGACCAAAAACAAATCTTTTGTTTTACAAAAGTTTTTTTTGCGTATAAATGCGTATAACATCAGAGTGCTTTGCATTTTCATATTTTTGCATAAAGACAAAATAGCTATTTCATTCAATTCCGAACTGTCTGTTTTACTAAAAGCCTTTCGGTTTTTTTTTCCCAGCCGTTGTGAGTACGTACGGAAAGATAGCGAATGATCTTCGCTGCGAACGAGCAATAATAGGGAGCTCGCCAGTGACGTGTGCGTTTGAGTTGGGCGGTTTAAACGACTACCTACTTCGGTAGACTTCATTCGTTCCTGAAATCGATTGAGGACAATGCGTGTGGGGTGCTTGCATCGGCGCAAGCAATATATATTTATGAATGAAAAACCAACATGGATATTATTTGATTACTAACAAAACGACAATTTTATGCATCAAAGAGGCATGTTATTCTATTAAATTATAAAGAAGATTCTACATATGCGTGCTAAGATAGTCTGCTGGCTTAAGCCAATGACTTCCTGTCATTACGCGTTCTGCGTAGACCAGTTTTGCCGGCTTTTCTTTTTTTTTTTTTCTAAAATTTTATTTTTAACAGTCAATTGCAATGTTTCCATTAGAGAACGGTGAAAAAATATAACAGGAAAATCTTGTCACTGCACTTTCATTCAACTAACGGTGTAACACATTTCGCTTTTGTATTAAAGATTAGAGCAGTCCTAATACTCGCAATAAAGTTCAGCGAAGCTTCTGAGCCTGAAAGCCTTAGGGTTCGACACGGCTCTGCAACAATGCATTAATGCGTATTGCTTTAGCTGGTCCTACCTGTTACAGTTTGTGTGAGGGCGTGTGCATTAGTGAGCAGCGTAGTGGGCAAACTCGATAAGATATCGAGGTTCGTCTCCTTCGTCTATATAAACTAAGAGCGGAAACATCTTCCGCGTGATTAGGTACTATATGGATTGTGTTTTCTTTGCACTAGTGTCTGGGTAAAAGGCCAAAAGCCTTGAGCAGGCAACCGAGCGATGGAACGCCAATAATTTCGCTAGGCATCGATCACCAGGATACAGAAGCGAATGTGGCTGGGAAACGATTGGGGAAAAACATTGCAACAGCGGTCGAAAGATGAGTTTCGCACACCCAGGAGAAGATAATCAGATCAAGCAGAGAATGATACGTTGGCTGGATACCTGTAGCCAGAATAGGTTTGCCGAACGTTCCGCTTTTCTGAAACAGTTGTCGCGATATACACTTATTGTGGAAAACCGCGCAATTGCCATGACGACTACAGGTTATGGTAGTCCTGTAAATTTGCGCGCATGCAAAGTGAAACCCGGGCATGAAGGAAACTAAGATAGAAGACTACGTATGTGGCTACCCCAAAAGCCATCTAATTTTCTAGGTAGTTCCAGCGTAATTTTAAGATATTAGAAATACAAATACGTGCCTCAACTACGTAGAACTAATTTAATTCGTCTACGTAGCTAATTCCGGAGCTCATTTGCTCACGAACTACAGTAACGGCATGGCATGTTTTGATTAAAAGTAGAACTTGTTAATTCAAGCGCCGCTAAGCATACGCACTTTATGACGAGCGTGATTAAATAGAAACATTTTTTCAAATCTTTCTCAGATAGATCAAATTTTCAAAAACATAAATATTTCATGATATTCTGAAAAAATGATTTTTTCCTATCTGTTGCGCCCTGTATTACCGTTATGCCATTGATATGTTCCGGCATGCTGTCTGTAATATCTTAATTCAAAACGAATGGCCTAAATGTACTTTTTTTGCTCTTGATTGAATTAGAAACGATTGGCAAAGTTCCTGAGTGAGAACTTCAACAATGTCTCCAAATAGTTTTATTTAGAACTTGTATAATTGGCGTATTTATGTGCATAGACGTAAATCCGTTACAACGCCCACCCAACGAGTGTTCCTTCAAAATAAACAACTCATCTTACATGGGATCGGAGAATAATTGTCGGCTATATATATATATATATATATATATATATATATATTCTGCTAGCTACGAAATAGGTGGCTGTTATTTTCTAAACGACTCGAGCTTGCCCGAGGCATATATACACATACCCGTTGCCATTGTACATACTAGATTTGCTAAGCTTCAGCACTGCAATTAGTTACAATGCTTTCGGCATGCTTTTCAACGGGTGATGCAATACTTGTAGGGGCATTACCGTCGCAGACAAGTTCCTTCTTATAGAATCACTGTAAACGAATAGGTTTGTGGATCTTAATAAATAGCTTGGGAAAAAGCATTGCTTTCAGGCAAATGTGTGATATACACAAGAAAAATCATTTATAATCATTAATTTATCTAACCATTAAAAGCTTTTCAGTAAAAAGATAAGTGCTAAATAATCAAAGGTCAGTTTCCATCCATGTGTTTGGTTGAGCCCAATGCAGTTCACAAATTATGAAAAACAAACAAACAAAAAAAAATGTAAAAAAAAAACTTATAAAAAGGGCACCCGGTTGGTGCGCACCGCATTGATGTAAATTGTGGCTATTTGATTCCAAAGGGCTTTGATAATAACCCATATTATGAGACGTTTGGCGAGTACGGCCTTATATATGGCTAAGGATCATTTCCTTCTTACTGCGGAATTCGGGTTCTCAAGAACCGCGTTGATAGCGTTCGAACAGTATTGCCTCAATATCGACTTAGGCTAGTGTATGACGTCTTGGCTTACTATTCATGGCATTAGTATACGGAAGATTTATTTACCGCTTTGACGCATAGTCCATATTCGGGCCTTTTTTTTGCCAATGCAGACAAGCGTGTGCGGACTGATACGCGCATTTTCATTAAAAAAATAAATAGTATCGACGTCTTGTGGGAAGCCTCGGCGACACGAGTAAAGGTGGGCACCTGTCTTTTATTGTTGCGGGAATTGGCTGCGTTAACTACCGTCTATTTTGTGAATATGCCCGCTTGCTATTATGAGCCAGAAGGCCTTTAATGCAAGACGTATAAATTTGTATCTTATCTTCGAAATTTTTCACTAAGGACTTTTACGTAGCATTTTTTTTTTAATTCTTTATTAGACAGCGACGCTGTAACAAGTATGTACTTCTCGAGCAAACAACCTCTTTCAGTTCGAATCTATTATCGTAGACGTATCGTCGTACGTACGTAAAACAGCGTAAACTTTGCACTTTTATGGCTTGCCAACTAAGGTTAAAGGGCCTTGCCAAGGTATAAGTTGTATACCGACGTTTTATTTTAAATACTAGCAGACGACATATCCAAAGTAAGTGTTTTCCATCGATAAGCGCAAATCGTGTGTTAAGGTAAAAAATGCATGCAAGCAGGGAATTTGAAGTGCATCGAAAAATAACTAAAAAAATTACTGTAGGCCGCGTTCTACGCCACGCTTATGTACATGCCCTCGAAACAATGAACTCAGGCACCTATAACAATGAAATAGAATCGCTTCAAGTCGCTGCTACGTTTTAGTCGAAGCCTATCAGCCCTGTCGGCTAAGAGGTCCCTATCAAGACTCGACCTTTCGCGCTTCCTGGATAGAATCATTTCAATTGGGAAAGAAAAGAGAAATATTTTGAAACGAAACGGTTTCCAGTAGAAAACGATCGGCTAAAGGGAAGATTGTCAAAGCGATTGTGGCTATGTGGCTAATGTTGAGCGAGAACAGGTCCGATCGTTTACATAATTCTGGCCAAGGATCGGGTTGACGTGGTAAGTAAAGCCATTCGATTCAGCGGTTGGACACTGATTCTTTTAAAAGGCAGAACGGTAGTATAATAAATCTAGCAAGAGGCGCTTAATAAATGTTTATTTGTAGTCTATTTGTATAGATATAAGTATGGCCGCATTGTGTACGGTTATAGATTCCCTCCCACAAAATCTGCTAGATAACATCTGTGGTAAATTATTTTGCCACAGATTAGGAAAGACTTCACAAAATCAATTTATGTATTTTTTGCCAGCGTACCACCACTGTGGCCATTTCCTATATAGAAATATACTGTTGTATTATAATTAGGGAAACGAATCCTTGCTTGGAACGCATATATTATAGAAACTGTAGAATGTATCTGTTAAAGTCACTGTATTGTGCTTTGCGCGACTTGCGATGAGTACCTCCAGGTATACCATGTCTGTAGATCAGCTGAGGCTTCAATGAAAAGAATGGATGACGCTTCAAGTACGTCATTTATACTTTTTACGGCGACGTATTGATATTTCTTTTTCCTTTTGTCCAGCATAGCCTGCGGCCGATAACCGTAGAGGTAATTTAGTACCATTATTTCAACTCGCACATTCTTCGAAGTCGAGCATACATGTTTGACGCTTGCCCTAAATTTCCTTACCCCAACGCTGTCCTATGCAATTCTCTTTATTTTTTTACCCATCATTGTCTCGTTTTTTTAATAGACCTTGCTTTTCCTGCTTGAGTCCCTGTCACTAAGGCTGGTTCTCAAATCTATGGATAAGATGCAGA